GAATAAAGTGTAATTAATAATAAAATAAAATAATACATAAAAAGAAGATATTGTTCTTTGTAAATAACAATATTATAAATGGGTAAATATTTGAAGATCATAAATTGTTTGTATTTAGTCTGCTTTGTAAACTAAAGTCTCAATTGCATCAATGTTTGAAAGCAAATTAAACACTGTTTCCAGCAAACTAAACCTATTTGCTCTTTTCTGTTGTATATCTTGGAGCTCTTTTGTTATCCTGCCTTCCTCCAAAACTGAAATGTTACGATCAAACGCTTACATTCTCCTTGAACTTTTCGCTCTCTCTCCTTTCTTTCTCTCCTTTTTCTCTCATTTTAGCTTCTTTAAGGCTATAGATTTTAGTATGTTTATGCTATATTATATGGCTAATGTCCACTTAAAAGTGAGTATATATCATATGTGTCTTTCTGCTTCTGGGTTACCTCACTCAGGATGATCATTTCTAGTTCTATTGACTTGACTGCAAATTTCATGATTTCCTTTTTTTTTAATTGCTGAGTAGTATTCCATTGTGTAAATGTACCACACTTTCTGTATCCATTCCTACACTGAGGGACATATAGGTTGTTTCCACTTTCTGCCTATTAGAAATACTGCTACTATGAATATGGTTGAGTAAAAGTCTTTATTAAATGGTAGGGCACCTTTGGGTATATCCCTAGGAGTGGTATGGCTGGATCTTGAGGAAGTACTATTCCTAGTGTTCTGAGGAAACACCAGATTGATTTCCAAAGTGGTTATAAAGGTTAAATTCCCACAGCTATGGAGGAGGTTTCCCCTTTCTCCACAACCTCTCCAGCACACAGCATCTTGTGAGTTTTTGATCTTAGTCATTCTGATGGGTGTAAGGTGAAATAGCAGGGTCATTTTGATTTGCATTTCCCAAATGACTATGAATGCTGAACATTTATTTAAGTGTTTCTTTGCCATTCGATATTCCTCTGTTGAGGATTCTTTGTTTAGCTCTCTACCCCATTTTTTTTTTAATTGGATTATTTGGTTTATTGGTGTTTAACTTCTTGAGTTCTTTATATATACTGGATATTAGCCTTCTGTCAGATATAGGGTTGGTGAAGATCATTTCCCAGTCTGTAGGCTGTCGTTTTGTTCTGATGACAGTGTCCTTTGCTTTACAAAAGCTTTTCAGTTTCATGTGTTCCCATTTATTAATTGTTAACCTTACAGTCTGTGCTGTTGGTGTTCTGTGCAGAAAGTTGTCTCCTTTTCCATTGAGGTCAAGGCTTTTCCCACTTTTTCTTCTAACAGATTTAGTGTGTCTGGTTTTATGTTGAAATCTTTGATGCACTTGGAATTTAACTTGTGCTGGGTGATATATATGGGTCTATTTTCATTTCTCTACATGTAGACATCCAGTTAGACCAGCACCTTTTGTTGAAGATGCTGTCTTTTTTCCATTGTATGGTTTTGCCTTCTTTGTCAAAAATCAAGTATCCATAGATGTGTGAGTTTATTTCTGAGTCTTCAATTCTATTCCATTGGTTCACCAGTTAAGCACTTAACTATTTCTATTTAAATATTTCCAAAGCTATAAACATTTTTCACATAAAAAATTTAAAAGTTAACAACACACTGTTGACAAAAGTTCTCATATATTGATAAATTATTCAGCTATTGCATGACTGAATTTCAAGTTCACTACAAAACAAAACTGTATTTTATTCTATGAAGCATAACATTCTTTAAAGATATAACTGTTGTTATATAGAGACACACAAACATGGCACGCACATACATCCATACTCATAGTCATACAAACAAATGTAGCACAAACATTTACACCTAATCAGGGAAGCACACACAAGTATACAAGCTATACATTCATGACACATGTACACACACCATCACAGACACATAAATGTGTTACATAAAATATTAAATATATTACTACAACTTCAGTACATTCAACATGAGCATAAAGGTTGCCTAATCAATTGTATGCCTATGCATTACTTAATATAATATATTAAAAGTGCTAAGGTATGAGGACATGTTTGTCTATATATTAGCACAAATTTATAATTCATGTATCTTATTTACTGCTGCTTTTGCTGAGAGTGGTATTGTATATTGTCTTCTTTTGAAGTTCTGATAATTAAAGCACTGCTTTTGAAGCTAGGAAACTGTGTCACAACTGAGTTACCCAGTATAAGGTGTCTTACATATGTGTAGCTTGAACCCATTATCAAAGTTTTTCTATTTAGTACCTGAAAAACTAATATTTCCAAGTAATATCCAGGTGTTACTGGTGATATTGGTTCTAGAATAAACAGTGGCAATGGTTAAACAATGGTTCCCTTTGTATTATTTTCTTGGTGTTCTCTGCTATTCTTCAGTCTGTCTTTGGTTTAATATTGTTAAATGCTTTAAATTAATTATTTTCAATTATATTGTCCAATTGTTTTTACATTGTGTTTATTTTTATCCCTCTAGATGCCAATTATATGTACAGTGGATTTTTTCTCTGTTCTTCATGTTTGCTTGCTCTCTCTTTCTCCCCTACCCCTTTACTTCTTCCATCTCCCTCCTCTTCCCTCTCTTTTTCTTCCCACTTCAGTTTCTATGTTTCATACTTATCTTTCTCTTACAGCTGTAACAACTTCTGTGCTGTCAGTGTCCATGCTTGTTAATGTCGTCATTGGATACACAATTTTAGCTTATATTTGATTCAATAGACTAATAGCACAAAGACATAAAGTGTAAATATATTATATGTTGGAAAATATCACTTTATAGTTTCAAAATGTACACATGCTTTTAGAATTTCAATTTCAAAAGATTAGTAAGTAGATTTATAGTAAATCAACAAATCATGTATATTTGGCTCTTTATGAGGACAATCTAAGAACAGACTACTAAGTGTGGAAACAATGATAAAGTTTTATCAATTTCTGAGTTCTCAGATATGGTCACTTTTCCACTTTTCTCATTGCATTTTAATAATAGTTTTAAACTACTAATTAATGGTGCTTAACGTGTTGCTTATATATAAATTTAAACATCTTCCTTATAAACACTTTGCTGGAATGTGTTATTAATTATGTACTTTCTTTGATAATTATTCACTTGTCTTCCTTATCTTACTATTTAAGTCAAAATTCACAATGCTACTGATACAATAAATAACTATAGATTTTAAAAATAATGAACTTATTTTTCCTGTAGCCATACATGGTAACTGATATTTACAGATTACTTTTTCTCTCCAGTCACTAACAATTCATGTCTGAGATATGTATTATGCATTTTAGTTGGACAATATTTTATCTAATACCCAAAGTTATTAATGTTTTAATATCTAAAAGGTTTTAGTGTGTCTACATAAGGCCATTAGAGGAAATGTCTACCTAATTTCATGTCATATGTTGCAACTATGATACTGGAGCAGTATAAATGTAAATTATCATCAAGTTGTTTCCATTTTAGCTATATAAAATGATATAATTCTCATAAATAAATTCTGGTGTTAAGGTTGAATCCATTCGCATGATTAAAGTACACAGGGTTTTTGGTTTACAGTATTTTGAGCAAAGAGTGTTCAACTTGAATTTACTTATTGATAACATAAATTAAGGTCCCTAGAAAAAGAAAGAGTAAGAATAAAATTCTTATGAGCACAACAGAATTAGGGTGAAGAACAAGAATTCTACAATATGTTGAAAGCATCACATAGCATAGTCAATTTAGTTTTATTTCAGGAGTACAAAGATGGTTCAATATCTGCAAATCAATAAATGTCCTATTTAGGCACCACATAACCATCTCAATAAATGCGTAAAATCCTTTTCTGCAATTCAACATTCTTACATAACTGACCATAACAAAATCAATGTTAAATATTGCCAACCTTAAACTCATAAAATCTGAAAATCACTTAAATACTTAATTCAAGTGTAAGGCATAAGTTTCTAAATTTTCCAAGGCTATAAATATTTGTCACTTAAAACATTTTAAAAAGATAACAACACACTGTCTAAATATCCTCTCATGTATTGATAAATTATACAATTATCTCATGACAGAATTTCAAGTAAGTTACAAAACTACATTATATTTTATTGAGTAAAGCATAACATTCTTTAAAGATATAACTGTTGTTAAATACGAATACGCAAACATGGCACACATACACCCTACACAGAGCCACAAAAAATGGTGGAGTGGTCACAGTATATTTCAGACCATTATGAGTTTTAGCCACAGTCCTGAATTTGAAAGAATACAGTAGCTTAACTGTGAATATGATTAGCATTCAATATTATTCTGATACTTTACTTTCATTTTATTTATAACCTGTTCATTTCTAATCTAATTGCTTTCAAAGCTAATTGATGAAAGATGTGTTGAATTTGAGAAAATCCTCAACCATGTTTACTTGTGACAAGTAGCTATCATGTGCAATGCTGTCAGGGTCTGTGAGCAGATGAATAGATAAAGTGTGGTACTGATATACAATGGGGTAATTAATATTCAGCAGTAAAGAAGAAAAATGATGTCATTTTCACAAAATGTGTGTAACTAGAGATCATCATGCTAAAAGAAATATTACCAGACACGGAAAGACAAGCATTGTATGCTTTATCATATATGGAACATGGAATTTTTGAAAGTTAACTTGAAAAGAGTAATGGTACTATTAAGGACAGGTGAAGGGACAAAGGAAGGAGAGAGAGGAGAGAGTATGACAGTATGAAGGAGAACAAATATGATTGATGCATGATATACCTATGTAAAATGTATGAAGAATTCATTACTACTAATGTCCCATTTTTATTGTCAGTCTTAAAGTTCACAGATGAAGTCAATGAAATAATGATTGTACTTATGTATATTTATAACATAGGAGAACAGAATATATTATAAAACTGTTTATCTCCTTGAAATTCAAATAAACTTTCTAATAATGGAAAACATAGTGCCTGTTGTAACAACTCCAATGAATGTGATTGCTATTATGTTAGGTATTTCAAGAGAAAGCCTTGTTGAACTTAATAAAAACATTAAAAACTACAAGAAAAACAGAGAAGGAAAGACAAAATGAAAGCTCAGAGAAAAGGATTCCAAATCTACATGAAAATTTTTAAATGGATAAAGACTTTTAACAAGGTAAGTATTAAAAAAATCAGCCTACAAAAAAAAAAAAAAAAAAAAATTCAGTAACTTTCTTTTCTACCAGTAAGTAATTAATTGGGAAAGAATATCCTGGAGGTAGAAAATCACATTCTCACTGACTATTGTAGAAACAAAACAAAACAAAGCAAACAGAAAACAGAAGAAATGAATACCAATGCTCAATAATACTCATGGATTAAGGGGATTAACACTGAAAACTACTATATTACGAAAAGAAAGCCATATAATTTCAATACAATTTCTATTTTAAAATTCTGAGAGTATTTTAGACTAGAAAAATAATCATAACATCCACGTGGATGTGCAAAGAGTGTTTGTGTACATAAACACAAAGAAATCACAATACTTAATCCCAAAATATAGCAGAAAGCCATAGCAACAAAAACTATAGCACATAAACAAATGAGCATGGATTTATTATGGCCAAAAGACAGAGAATTGTCAAAATAATCCTCAGCAAATTAAAATAATCCTGTAGATATCACCATACTCAAATATTTGGATATACAGAGCTGTAGTAACAAAAAACTATGTTGCCTACCAGTATACAGCACATGGGTGTATGTTAAAAGCACTCTGAGTTTTAATGTAACCAAGATATTTACACAACCATGTTTATTGCACTGCTTTACAACATCTAATCTATGCACATAATTTGTATGCAAAATTAACAGATGGATGCATAAAAAATTAGTGCTTGTGCACAATAGAATTTCATATAACTGTAATAAAAATTAAATAGTTATTTGTAAGAAAATGATTATTCTATTTACATTTACAGATAGATGTATGTACAATTACAGAGTCATAGTATTCATACATGAATGTATATAATCATATGTATACATACCCATTTAGGAATATACATGAACTGGAGACCCTTATTTTAAGAATATAAATCATTACCTTATAGAAAAATAGCATTTTTCTTATATTCATATTGTATATTTCAATTTATATATAAATTTATGGGCACATTATTATAGAAAGGGAACATAAAAAGGGAGGGGAAAGTATAAATTGAGATAGAGAGGAGTGAAGGGAGTGTCATAGACTATGTTACAGGAAAACACTAGATAAAAACTTTTGAGAGTAAAAGTGGATCAGTAGGTAGTATTAGCAGAGAATGGTATGCTATTAAAGGTAAATGAGGAGAAATGATGAAAAAAGACCAATGATAGATGATAGACGATAGATAGATAGATAGATAGATAGATAGATAGATAGATAGATAGATAATAGAGAATGATCGTCATATGTGTATGTCAAAATGAATCTCATTATTTTGTGTGCCATAAAAATTATATTTTAAAATTAACAAATGAACAAAAATCAGTATGAATATCCAATGAATATGCTTATATGGATATGATAGTCTAGCTGAATATATTGACTGCAGTATTGCTTTATAATGCCTTCTTCTTTCAAACATTACATACACATTGATTATTTGACAATTCACATAATGCACCCCATCAAACTTGTTTCCCCTCCTCCTAGGCCAATCCTCCCATACTTGTGCCCTCCTCCAAAAAGAAAAAAACGAATACACTAAATCCAATTAGTGTCGTCTATATACTCATTGACACATGATTTGACTACCAGTAGCCAGTCCTGTAAAGATAGCAGAGTCCTTACCCACTCCTGCGCCGGAAGCTGTCAACTGTAAAGAGTTACATCCCAGCATCCCTATCAGTTTCTAAAGACTTTCTTCAATGGCTTCCTGTCTGGACTGCTTCTTTTTGGAAGGAGTTGAGGAGGTGATCGCAGAATCCTTCAATGTCTCTCATTCACAATTATGAGTCTGCATTCATCCATACCAATTTAAAAGAAGCTTCCTTTCCCATCACAGCCAGTGGCAACACAAAGCATGGATCTCACCATGGTCCCAGATGGTGGCAAGGACTATGGACATCAGTAGCACTCCTTCACCCCACCCATTGTTCTTTCTCCCATTTTCACTCCCACCTGCCACAGCACAGACCACAGACATCAGCATGGCCTCTAGTTCTAGCATGGACCAATGAGGTCTTTCTAGGAGGATCAATGCAGAAAATGAACTGTTCTTCATCTCAGACATCCTGCAGTTGCTAGAGTTTTCCGCAGCAGAGCCTATGGGAACTCCAGGCTGCTACACACAACCCTCATGGCCCAACAAGCCAAGGAGATGCTTACCTGTCAACTGCAGCTAGCTCCCATAACTGTAGCTGCCATGGCCAAATCTCCACGCATCCACTACTCTGTTTTGCCACCTTTTCCACCTCCCCACTGAACATTCATTGAAGTGGAATTAAAAACTGCAGTGACTTTCACACACTATATATTTATATTGCATCAATAGCTTTGCATTCAAGTACTTATTGCAATTGGTCTGCTTCAAAACTCTATGAAGCACCATGAATAGTGGACTGTCACTGAGTTTCAACTCAAATACCCTATTGTTGCTCAGACTCAGGAGGATCTTGCAAATAGGCTGAATGTCCAAGGGCAGAATCCATGAGAGCTCCAGGCTGATGCACACCCATCTGGTATGACCATCTCGAGCTGCCCGGCATATTCTCCATGCAGCAGAGCAAGCAGTACAGGTTGCAGCTCCATGCTGGCAGGCTGGGCCTACTGGCCTGAATCTCCAGCAGGAAAAGGACCAGCCTTACTCCTCTACACTTGCTACACTTCCTATTTATTGTCACCATGCCTCTAGTTTCACTTCTCTCCCCTGATTGCCTGGGTTCTGTTCCCTCATCTTTCCTTTCAATTTCAAGAGACTGCTTTTAAATAGCATCTTCCCTTAAAGCCTGCCTGTTTTTAGTTGTTCTACAGATACTGTGGGCTATGCAGACTCTTCCTCAGCTGCTTACATCTACTATCAGAGCCTTGGTGGGTCTCTCAGGCTACTTGAAGAGCCTCCATGGACCCACAGGTGCTGGTGGCTGCTACCATCTTGCATCAAATGTACTGTCTTTTGTGTAAATGTTTATGTGATAAGTGCTTCCAATGAAATTTAGCTTCCCTAAAAATTATCTTACAGAAAAATTTATATTTTAAAATTTAGAATTAAATTTATACTATTTTTAAAAATAAAAATTGAGAGTAAGACATTAATTAATTTGAAACCGCATTTTATTTCCTCTATATGTATATAAATATAAACTTGTGTGCATATATGCATAACTAGATATATGTATATACATTTGTAAACACACGCATTGTATATAATTAACAAAGAATGACATTCTTATATGTGGCCAATACTCATTTATAAGTGGAAAAGTGAGAAAGTAGAGGAAAAATAAAAGATTAGATTTTTTTATTTATTTAGCTGAAGCAATTTTTAGAAAATATCCACATGTAACATTTTATGGACTGAGCATGTTGTTTGTATGTATTTATATCTGCTTACATATGCAATAATAATTAGTGACAAAAGGGGCTATGAATTTGGAAAAGAGAAAGAAGGGATATATGGGTTTGAAAGAAGGAAAGAGAAGGGAAAATGATATAACTATAATATAATCTTAGAAAGGAAAATAAATGATTAGAAAAAAAAAAAGAACAATAACCAAAAGACTTCTAAAACCACAAAGAAGCCAAGGCAAAAGAAACAGGAAAGACAGTGTACTGGATACAAGAAATTTGAATTTCCCTGAAGTGGAGCTAAAGGGAAGATGTGGAAAACAGACACTGAAGAAAACATATTAGCTACTAAGGATCTCAGGTAAGGATTGGACTTTATAAACAACATGAGCCAAGAAACACTGGAGAAGTCCCTTGAAAGTTCTGAGTAATAGAAGGCAATACAGAATTACATACCTAATTAAAATATTGTTAAAAATAAACCCTAAATAAAGACTTTTAAAAATCATATTTTAGATGGGCAAGGGTAAGTTATCCTTAATCTGTACTCTAGAACTTCAGGTAATGCCACAGGAAGTGCATGCCACAAATGTCAACCGCACACACATCAGCACTTAATCAGAACAAACTACACTGAGAACAGTGTGCTACAATACACAGTGCCTAGTTACGTCTCTACTTCTGTAATCGAAAGAAAATGAGGCAGAAAAGGAATACTTTTGGCCAACAATTACACTCTATTACCTAGGATAGCCAAGGCTGATAAAAGTTAACCAGCACAATTAATTTCTTTTCTACTTGACACAAAAAAAAAATCACTATTAAACCACAACCTTTTCTTTCTTGTTTATTCTTCAGGCTCTCTTATTAATTTCATAATATAAAACAAAGTGTAACTTTGAATGACCGACTGTTTTTTAATTAAATTTTTATTTTTTTTAATTAAGTACATCTTATTCGCTTTGCATCCTAGCTGTAGCCCCCTCTCTCATTCCCTCCCAATCCCGCCCTTCCTCCCTCATCTTCTTCCATGCCTGTCTCTAAGTCCACTCATAGGGGAGGTCCTCCTCCCCTTCCATCTGATCCTAGTCTATCAGATCTCATCAGAACTGGCTGCAATGTCCTCCTCTGTGGTGTGGCAAGGCTGTTCCTCCCTCAGGGAGGGTGCAGTAAAGAGCCAGCCACTGAGTTCATGTCAGAGACAGTTCCTGTTCCCCTTACTAGGATACCCGCTTGGATACTGAGCTGCCATGGGCTACCTCTGAGCAGGGGTTCTAGGTTACCTCCATGAATGGTTCTTGGTTGGAGAATCAGTCTCAGAAAAGACCACTGTGTCCAGATATATTTGGTGCTTGTGGAGCTCCTGTCCTCTCTAGGTCTTACTAACTCCCACTTCTTTCATATGACTCCTGAGAAAACAAGAAACAGGGCAGAAGCCAACCATAGAGGGCCTCTAAAAGACTCTATGCAGCAGACTCAAAGCAGATGCTGAGACTGTCCCACTGTTTTAAAATGTACAAATATTATGTAGGTTCAAAGTCCATTTAAAAATATTCAAAACTTCCTAACTATAGATTTCTGTAAAAGCAAAAACAAGTTAAATGTTTTCTTACTTTAAA